ATGCTTATTTATTTTTAATTTTTTTTACTGATCACCCCAACCATTCTTATCTTCAATTATTCACTACATTCAACCATCAATCCACAATTATGTTTTTATTTTATTTGTTTTATTGTGCGCTTATGTTTTTTAAGAACTATTTTGTTTTCCAATGGATTTGTGTGTCTTGGCAGAGTGTGGTTTGGTTCATGGTTGCTTTCCCGTTTTGATTACCTAAATCATTTTATTTAAAAATGGCATGTGTTTTTTAATGTTGACATAAGTGTTTTTTTTCTTTCCTGTCGGCAGCGCCACTTTTATGTTTTTAAATTCACAATAAATACAATTGTGTCAACATAAAAACGTATGTCATTTTTAAGTAAAATGATTTAGGTAATTAGGTAACCAATCCACACTCTGCCTAAACACACAAAATATTTAGGATATACTACAAAAACCCAATGTATTAGTACGTTATCGTAACTTCATTTGATGAGCATTTTCTAGTTAGTAAATATTTACCTATTTTTTTTTTATTTTTTTTTATAAGCTTAATTATATTTTATAATTTTTCACCTAAATGAGTCGAGATTTTCAGAAACATGTAGATTGCATTAAACCTCGATAACCGAAATTGCGGTTTTGTTAATTACGATTAACCGATTACGATTGGTTCACCACATCACATATTTAACAACATAGACAAACGAACCAACATATTTTTTTGTATAATAAGCGTAAAGCTAGAAAAGAGACATGATGTGACTATAAACGGAAAAATCTAAAAAAACTACAAAGCCATGAATCTCTAACATAAAGGTGATTAATTAACTCGCCAACGTTCCACAAAGCCAAGCATCATCAGGAAAAAAAAAAAAAAAAAACTATATCACGTATATGCAAAAAGAAAAACAAAATTATTATTGCTGTTAGTGTTGCCCAAATGCGAGACCGAGAGAGTCATGGTCTTGCACACTCAGTCTTGGTCTTGCGCAAGAGCCTCGCAACAGTCTTGCAGTTACTTATTAGCTTATCACTATAGAGATATTAATGTAATTTTTTAGATAGGAGAAACCTAACTAAGCCTGAATGAAAAATTAGAGGAGTTAAATGCAAAATTATAATCGTTATACCAATTATTAACATATAGTAACTAAGACTGTCAAGTATTAGTAACTATTTTGCCTTAAAATTTAGTTAAAAGATCGATTTTTTTTACCAATCCTGGTCTCGGTCTTGTACCAGTTAGGTGGCCTCGGTCTTGCAAAGTGCAAGACCAAAACCGATTTTGGGCAACACTAATTGCTGTAGACAGGGGTGGCCATCTCCCCCAAGGCCGATGGTGCATAAAACTCTCTCACCCCTTCCAAGATATTTTATTCCTCTCTTCATCTTAAAAATAGTGCGAACGAAAGTAACATTTAAATATTCGTCGATTATAAACAATTACACATACTGCGGTCTGTTCCATGCTTCCACTTGTCTTTTAATTTGAAACTTTTCATTTTGGAAATTCATGCCCCCCTCAAAAATTGTAAACCCGATCAAAAAGTGGCCCCTTCATAAATTTTGATGGTACAACTTGAATGAAACCCACTTCTGGGCACTCCTGGCTGTAGATATCTAATGAAGCTATACAAATACATACTCTAAGAAAGAGATGGTTCTATTAACACAGCTAAGGAAGGTTATATAGAATAGTGGTGCCCAAAATCGGTCTTGGTCTTGCACTTTGATAGACCAAGACCAATACCGCCTATCTGTTGCAAGGCCAAGACTGGTAAAAAAAATCGATTATTCGAATAAAAATTGAGGCAAAATAGTTACTAATATTTGATAATTTTAGTTACTATATGTAAAAAATTGATGTAACCCATATATGTTTGCATTTAACTCCTCTAATTTTTCATTGAGACTTAGTTAGGTTTCTCATATCTAAAAAAATACAGTAATATCTCTCTAGTAATAAGCTAATAGGTAACTGCAAGACTGTAGCGAGACTCTTGCGCAAGACCAAGACTGAGTTTGCAAGACCAAGAATCGTCTCGGTCTCGCATTTGGCAACACTACTATAGAAGAGCTGATTGTAATATTACTAAAATAAGCATAAAGCTAGAAAAGAGTCATAGGGTGATTATGTTATGCTGATGTCAACTACAATTTCTGTTTTCTTTCCTTTTTGTCTTTTCTATCTGCATACATGTGTTCTTGTTTTTTCTGCCCCCATGATACATGAATTGGTGAAACTTTGGCAAGTTAACTATCCACCTGTATGTTGAGAAATCATGGCTTTATAGTTGGGATTTTACCATTTATAACATATTCTGTATTTGTTATTTCATCCATATAGTTCGGATATTGCTAATTAGCTGTTCATTTTTTTTTTTTTAACTTTTATTATGATATTTACAACTGTATTAGTATAAATACATCAAGTAAATTTGTACAGAGAAATATTATTACATGAAACACGCTTGTTGAGAAACTACCCACTGGTAGCACTCTAATAATTTGTCTACATGAGAAGATCACGAGGCCATCTTCTTTTCAGACGCCTCGGAGGGTTATCAGGAATCGAAGAGGAAGCAAGGTTAGAAACAAGAGGATTCGGATATTCGGATGGTTATGAAGTTTATTATGGAAGGATAGGTATCTGGATTTGGCCAAATCGGAAACATATGGAACATTGAGGTCTTTATGGATTATTTTATTAGTGACAAAGTAAGGAGCATTGAGGATTTTACGAAGGATTTTGGATTGTAAGGATTGGATGCGAGAGGAATTCGATGGTTTAGTGGAGCCCCAGCTGTTCATTTATTGCGATTTTATAATGGCTTTCAATTTTATATTTTAAATCACTGCTGTAAAATTGAATTATAAATTAAATTACCCAGAATAGAACTTGAGGTCGTAAGCCCCTATGAAGTGGGTGCTAGACTTTCTTAAGTTTGGAGGGAAACCTGGCAATTGGACCTGGATAGTTACCACATCAAACTAGGTAGTGCACTATCATCACTTCTAATAGCTTCTTTTACAAAGGAGAAATTGATTTCTGTTCCACCATTCCAAATAATACGGAATTGCTCCCTAACGTTTTCGCTTAGGTTTAGGGTTTATATGGTTAGGATATATATAATAATAAAGTCAGTGTGTATATAATACATTGAGAAATACTGGAAAGAATTGCTACGCTTGTGACAATTTTCATTTAATCGTCCTCAATTTTATTATTAAACCAATTAGATAGAATAAAGTTGTTTTTTATAGTAAATTGTACACTTGACTATATATGAATACTAAAATTGTATCCATAAGTGCAATAGCCATCTCATAGGAGCCATAAGAAAAAAAAAAAAAAATTTCCTACCGACCGTGACAGATTCACAAATATACCAAAATAGTCGAAATTCATTTTTATCGTCTTATTTAACATTGTAGAACAATTTAATCGCTTATAACTAATAACACATATAAATTTGTGTAAGAATCAATTTTCGGTCTGCCTCGAGCCATTTCTGGATATCTAAAACCAAAAAAAAAATAAAAAAATTTAGTTGCGTTCCGACTTTACACAAAAAATATGTCATAATCGTACCCGACGCACTCCTTCACAAAAAAACAGTCGCCACGACAATATAAAATTATCTACGTACATTATTAATGAATGCTAATTAGCAAATAATTTTTAACACGTAACGAGTAAAAACATTCATTACATAAAAAATAATGAAGGACTCTACTAGCGTTAAGGTCGCGTGATGCGTTACCAATAAGTTCTGACAGGGACATCTCTTTCTTCTTAATAAACCTAATGGCAATACCTTATTGTTCCGCTCCCCTACTATACTAAATATTAAGGTTGTACAATGATATGATACATCCAGTGCTGATGATGACTAGCAGCACCATAGAAAGAAGAATCGAGAGAATATTGAAAGGAAATCCTCCGAACGATAACTGGAGTAATCTGAGATCAAAGTACGGAGGTAAATGACCAATAAAGAACCGCTTATAAAAACTTTTCATCCTATATCTCATGATATGAAGGCGAGGTGTTTACGATGGGCAGGGAATATTGTTTGAACCAATCCCTCAAGAAGCCTCTATACAACAATGCCACTAAAGTTGGCAAGATAAGTAACACATTGGTCAAACAGCAAATGGATAGATAAAACAAACAAAGGTGATGCATGAAGCAAACTGATAAACTAATGTAAGTCTGACTCATTCAAGTTTTACGGCTAATATAGCATTTTTTAATCATTATTAGTTTTATTTAGTTAATAGTTATAATATAAGCTCGTTCGCCGAGCAGTGTATGATAGATGATTTCAGTTAAACAATAATTTTTTTCCAGACTTCTGTGGATCGAGTTGTAGGTGTGACCGGTTACGTCTCTAGAAAGTGGGTTATTGACTTTTCGGTATGAAGGGGGTGAAACCTAGCTGTTGGGACGTGATAAGAGTGATAACTTATCGGAAGACCGTCACTCCAGTTCTTCACGAACAGTTACCGAGGTTAACAGATTTTTTTTCGATTTAGCTTTGGTGTTACGGAAATGAATTAATCAGAGAAACTAACGGCGATTTTTTTTTTTTTTACTTTACTTTCTCGGTTTCAGTGATTCTCTCACATTGTAAATGTATATTTATTAACTGTTTTCATTTTTAATTATTAACATAGTTACCAACCGTTAACCGTCTAATTAATTTATTTATATCATAAACTGAATTTATTCATAATTTTGAGGTATTATTATTAGTATATCCCATTTTTTTATTTTTTAGTTTCTTTTGTAATACACATATATATTATATATTAGTGTTCCCTAAATTATAAATTTGTTATGGCGTTAATACCTCTTTAGAGTTTCGAATCAATTAAATTTATTTATGATCTTCTAGAGATTGTACTAGCCCCATATCAGACGTAAACACTAGGTTTCAGAATCCACTGCTGGAAAATATATAAAATAACAATTCTACCTTGCCTATAGATGTAATGTATTTTCCCCGAAAATCCTATGGCTGCGGTGTTGTAGGCTTAGGCGCTGGAGTATTGACCGCGAGGAGGATATGGGGGAGGAAAACGAGGGCATTCACCCCCCACGAGTTCCAGCCACCCCTGCCTGGAGAAGCGTTCCTCCTCGTCCCGTTCTTCCCGCATTCTGGTTTAGAGTTCTTTTTAATAATATAAAAGAAAAGATGATAATAAAAGAAAAAAAGCGTAGATATGATAAAAAAAAAAATATAACGAAAAATTGTAAAATAACTGAAATGGGTAATGCAGTGGGTGGGCGGAGGGGAGGGGATAACATTGGGTGGGGGCGACTCGAACACGTGGCAAAGTCATTCCTGGTCATTAGAGCTGAAAATCTCTTCCCTTCTTATTCATTACTCCTGCCAACTACGTATATTTATGAAAACCATTCAAACTTTCTTATTGATTCATTAAATTCACCGTACATTATTTGAAAACTGGGTTTGGAAAATATTTAAGGGAGAGATTATAATTTTAATAATTGTAAAAACAAAAATAATATTAATTTTCACTAGTTTAATATTTTAAAAAAGGCATAATGCTCATACTATCTTTGATTATAAAGGGATCGAAATAAAATTTTGTAATTATTTTCATGTTTCATTTTTTTCTTAACGTAGATCCGAAATCGTATGCCAAATGAGCTTTGCGTTTGCCAGGCCATAGAAGAAATTGACTTTTTTTTTCTCTGTTGGCATTACGGATATTTTAGATTTTTTAACGCCTTAACCAGCCTTCTCCATCTCTGTCTATCTTGGAATATTTCTTTTCAGTTATCTACATGCAGTGCTATATGATCTTTTTTTTATTAGATTTATTAGATTAGATAGCTTCTTTTTATTTCTCCGAGTAAATGCCCCTTCCGTCTTAGCCTCCTTGCCTTCATACCATGAGATATTGATTGACCAGTTTCTGTAAGCGTTTCTTTATTAGTCTTTCTCCTCTTGCGATAGTACTCTGATCTCAGATGTGTCCGGGTATCGTGCGGAGGATTTTTCTCTCAAATCTTCCATTATTTCGTTCTAGGGTGCTGGTTAGGAACCATCTTGTTGAAGTTGATTCATAAAAATAAATAATAATGCCTACTGTTTTTAAAAAAGTCTTGAATTTTAGTTTTTAATCGGATTTCGATTTAATTAAAAAAAAAAATATATATATTTTTTATATTAATACTAATTAATAATATAAAATAAAACTGTTTTCCTTTACATTTGCTACTATCTTGGTGAAAAGAAAAGAAAATTATGAGTATTTATCAAATTATACTTGAAGTACACAACATTTGGCCTTAAATAATGTCATCCTTAAGTACTCTTGTTTTTACATATTAATATAAAATATGTAGCTTAATCATTTAATTTAATAATAATGTGAATTCTATTTAATTAAAAAAAAATATCATTCAATAAACAATACCGTTATAGCTTACATGTATTAAGGAACAGCCGGTCAAAATGGCCATGTATTTTTAACTTATGTCATTACTTTATTAAAACAATAATCAACACGAAAAATGATAATAAAATGGACTGTATTAAGTGTCTATAGTAGGAAGCCTTATTTTATGGAGGTTTTGTTTAAATATGCCTTCCATTTTTAAACATTTTAGCTTGAATAATAACATATTTGATAAATGAATAGTGGATTGCATATGATTAAAGAATTTAATTCTTAATAAACAATATATATTACTGATATTACATTCAGGATAATTTGAACAGGATTGTAGAGGTTTTCTTGTGTTAATAAAGGTTTTCTGGTGGTGAATGAGGTTTTCCTTGCAGCTATGAAAAAACAAGTGTAGCACATCATGTTATTTGTTTCTCTTCTGAACTTTTCTCTCCTACTTTGGCTAGACATTACAAGAAAAAAGACAAATTAGTGAGAAAAATTACTCATTAAGAGTTTCCTTAAAAGACATGCATTAAGCAGATAATGTAGTAAATAGAGATGGGCAAAATTGTGCTCTGAATAAAAAGTACAAATTACAGAGTAGTTTACTCAAATACTCGCCCGGTTCGAGTACCGAGTACTTTAATCACTAATCGACCTCATGATTGACGAGTACAAAAAGTAATCAGCTGTCCTCGTGAGTACTTTCTATTTTCATATCTACTCAGCAATATTTTACTCTGAGTACTTTTCAAAGTAATCCAGTACTTCGTTATAAAAATTACAGGAGTAGAATATTTAATATTTCTTCCATATTTAAGTCCATTGCTATCTTATGGGTATAGTTTTTTTAAAATAGTATCGATATTAATGTAAATCGATAAAATAAAGAATTATTAAAATATTTTGGATTTAATCAACTTTGGGGACCATTTTTTTTTTTTTCTACACCACTTGGCTTTTATGATAATGATGTCGGATTTGAGATAGTGCCCCAAGGGCCCGACTTTTTGTAACTTTTTGGATTATATCGATATGTTTTGGGGGCGCTTTTTATGAAAATGATGTAGGATTTGAAATTGGGCCCCCGGGGCCCGACTTTTCGGAACATTTCAGATTTAATCGATATTAGAGTCAATTAATAGGTTTTGAGAGGACGCTTTTTATGAAAATGATGTCGGAGTTGAGATTGGGCCCCCGGGGGCCGACTTTTTGTAAAATTTTAGATTTAATCGATATTAGAGTCAATTATTAGGTTTTGGGGGGCGCTTTTTATGAAAATGATGTCGGATTTGAGATAGTGCCCCGGGCTCCGACTTTTTGTAACATATCAGATTTAATTGATATTAGGATCAATTAATAATATAAAATTTACTCTAATATCGATGAAATCTGAAATGTTACAAAAAGACGGGCCCCGGGGGCCCCAGTTTCAAATTCGATATCATTTTCATAAAAAGCGCCCCCCCAAATACTAGTAGTCGACCCTAGTATCGATTAAATCGGAAAAGTTATGAAAATTCGATGCCTGGGGGCACTATCTCAAATCCGATAGTATATTTTTATAAAAAGGGCTCCAAAAAACATGATGGTTAGTCTAATATCGATTAATGAGGGGTTAGGGTTGGTCAGGTGGAATATGGCAGCTATTATTGAAGAAAATAAAAGAAAACATTTATACTCTTTATAATAATGACGGAGTAGTTGAACAATAAAAAGTACTCTTTGTAGGAATTGGGCTAAGTACTTTCTGTAATTCGATATAACACCGCGAGTATTTTCTGTACTTAACTAAATCATGATTAACGCTGCGTGAGTACTCTCAGTACTCGTCGATGCCAGGCCGAGTACAGAAAATACTCGATACTTTTTCCTAATAAAATTACTCAAATCATGAAAGTAATCGAATACTGCCCATCTCTAGTAGTAAACAATGCATTTTGTCATTTTAATACTATGGAGTGAATGTGTTCATATATCACTATAATTATTGTCCATGTGACAGATTATTACATTTCTAAATAAATAAAAAAAAATTGCTGTGAGAAATTATTATTTTTTTTTTTTAGAACTTTTTTAATTAGAAATATTGCAATCTGTCTTATATTCGCCTCATAAAAAAGCCATTGAAACATTATTAAACTTCCCATTAAATATATTTTATGATTTAAAAAAAAAAAAGAATTTTTATTTTTCCTTTTTTATGACGATAAAAGTATTTTTGTTTTTAGTAATTATTGTTTTTAATAAATCACTGTCCGGAGTTATCCATATGGGTCTGCTTTGCCAAAATATGTAATATAGGATATTATAATGTAATATAAAATAAAAATGTATAAGAAGCTTAATTTAACGGAGGATTTAATTTGAAAAATATAATATAAAAAAAGTTAACTGGATTAATAAAAGATAGCTAAACTAGTGAAAAAAATAAACGAATATGAAAAAATAAACTAAATATCGTTCGTGTTAATTTTTTAATTTAGGTCACATTGCGTTATAGCACTATTATTTAACCTAACAATTTTTTAAACTATAATTTCATATATATTCCCATCAGTTTTCTGGCTTCTTTCGGCTGTGCTTGATGAACTTTCCTGACGAAATTCTACAACGTTAGTAATTAAAATAAACGCTACTATACTGCATCTATTAACCGCACCACTGACCAAATTCTTACAATATGTACATACATACATACATGTATATATATATATATTTTTTTTTTTCTTTTTTTTTTTTTTTTTTTTTGGAAACCGAGGAAGCCGAAAGACTGTTTTCTTCCGCAATAATTAATTCGTGTTTTATAAAAATTGAGGTTTACAATATCTGTTCTATGTTTGATAGTTTAGTAATGTAATTGTGTTTCACTCATACAAAATTTGTCCTCCCTTCCCTTAAAATTTACGGAAACGTAAACCAATTTCCTTCTATTTCATTGTTGATACTTATTATTGAAATCGTCTCTCTCTCTCTTCGACAACCGCTTTGACCATGTTTCCTTTTTATAATGGTACAATAACATCCCCTATCGATCCTTGCAACAACCCCTCCATTCAAAGCTCCAGGGCGGGGGATATCCACACAAGATAATAATAAATAAAAGATAGCTGGATCCATGGTCTATTGTCATGTGATCTCATGCATATCCTCCATCACTGCGGTAGAGCTCTCACTCGTGAACGGAATTAATTTCTGGATATTATGATCGGTTATCGATTTATACAGAGGTCGTAAAAAATGGCGTATTGCTGCTTCCATCACTCTCATCATTTCGATATCCATCTTCGTATACTCCCTATCACTATTCTTAAATAAACATTTTTAATTATTTATTTTTGGTTATAATTCGGTCATAGTAGGATGTTTGCATATGAACTGTTTGGTATATGTCGGAGAGATACTTGTGAACAAGGTCCGGATTTTTATGCAAATGAATATCTTGATCGAACGCAGTTTTAAACGGTTGATCAGATATATATATACGAACCAATGTACTTAGATGAAATTAGTCAAATTTTATAATGCATATAAACCCATATTTTGATTATTTTAAATAAATAATAATCATTAAAAATAATGAATTGAATTGTAACATTTATATTTTTTTTATTACCTTGTTTGGAAAATGGTGCACAGTTTCTTTAAAATAGAAATTTTGAGTCGATTCTTACAGTTCCAAAGATGAAATAGTTTGTATAATTCGTTTTTACTTCTATCATTCAAAATACGCAGATGTAGCATATCCATAGGCTCAGACTTCGGAGGAGGGGGCGAGAATATCGCTTTGCCTCCCCCCCAATATTTCGAAGAACAACAATTTAAAAAATAAAATCAATAACAATTAATCTACATCATCATTATCTTTGGCGTACATAATCTACATCTTTGGCGCTACAACTCCTGTAGAGTCAAGGCCTCCCGCAGCTTGATCCGTCAGTCTTCTCTATTGGTAGCCGCTGCTCTCCTATTGCAGACTCCCAAGACGGACCTGGCATCCGCAGCCACTCCATCGATCCATCGGAGCCAAGGTCTTCCCACCCTTCTTATCCCATAAATCCTTTCATCTAGGACCATCCTAGGAATCTGATCCTGGGTCATTCTAATTAAATGACCTGCCCATCGAAGCCGGCCTACTTTAATCACCTTTACGATATCTGAGCTCTTGTAGAGTCTTTTTAGTTCAGAATTCGTTCTTATCTTCTAGATTCCATTGAAGCAAACTGAAATAATCTACATGAATGAATAAAATATGTAAATTAAAATCAATTTTTAAAAAATAGGAAAAGTAGTCTAAAAGCAGGTACGCAAGTATTTTACCACGCCCTATCTCCCTATTATTTAAATTTTAGTTTATATTCAAAGATAATTATATTGTACATATACTTTGGTATTATGTTATTCGTTGTACAATAGTTATGTGGATTATGACATATTTTGGGGGGGGATCCATCGCTCTCTCAACCAGAGTGGAAAGACAGCGCGTAAGAGCATATCACCCACCAACAGTTAAGTTGTGTTCTTATGTTCTTAAAGATAGATGTATAAAGTATATACCTTATGTTGTTTGAATACATTACCTTATGAATATAACTTAGCTTTTTTGTTGTGATCGATATTGTGGATTCAATAAATTGTTATAAGGCACATATATTAGTTTCCCAGGTATTCAGAACCACAATTGTTAGAAATATCTTTTAAATTATTGTTATCATCTTCTAATGTCTATCTTAACTGATTTAAAGATTTGGGACTGATCAGTCACACTTGCTAGACAGTCTTTTCAGTGAATTATGAAAACACATATAATTAATCCATATGTCAATTCACGTCCACAAATTCCTTCAAACAACCCCTGTTCCACCACCTACTCCATATACTAACTTCCGTAAATGTGTAAAATTTACTTGCGCCTGTATTTTTTATTTCAATTGCGTTTAATTCAATCAACTGCACAATTGCAACGAAAATCAACAGTTAATGAGGCATCATTTTGTATTCATCTAAGCCAGACTAAGACTCATAAATATGTAACTCTGTTATTATTCTTAGGGGACTGTAGTCCCAGAATAAAATTATTTTTTCATGCATTCATTCATTTAATATTTAGCTGAAAATTGTTTCCAGGTAATACTTCGTGGTCTTTGTCCATATACTGCCACACTGTCCATATTTTATTTTTATTTCATGGTTACGATAATCTATTCTGGCATTGGATTATCCAGTCTTCTATGTTCGTTTTATTAGATTTAAAATTTTCTAACCTGGAATCTTAATCATAAGTTTCGAATGCTCGGCTGCCCATGTTTCTGATAATATTGAAGTGACATCCTTTTTCCATGTAAACCTCGAAGAATAATGATATGGAACCACGATCTTTCGGATGGTTGGAATGGCATGCCTGGTCAGAATTAGTATAAGCCCTGGCGGAGGGCTGCCTGCACCGGAGGTGATGCCAAAGGCCCTGGCGAAACCCGAGAGGCACACAAAGCCAAGTCTAAATCCATCGGATGTGGTGGTGGGGCGAGGCGCATGCGTAACACCGCTACCGCCGTTCCACTTCCTGACTCCATCAGCTGGTCTTTTAATAGTTCAATACAAATAACATCGGCGTCCGGTAGGTATTTTTAAACTTTAGGTATCTTGTTTGTCATGGCGCGGGTGGTTAAAATTTGAATATTTATCACTATTGTTTTCTTAACGTGGCCTAGCAAGTTGACGTGATAATGTAACGAATTGAGGTATTTTAAAATAAAGAAGATCAAAGAAAATTCGCCCCCAAGCACTTTCTCTGCATATATAACAATAATTACTTGGTGGAGAAAAAGAAAGAAACTAACTAGCTATATAGCCGACTCTACACGATAATTCATGAATGACAGTCAAATGACTGACAAGGATTGTTTCAATCATGATGACCCTTACACGTATCAATTATACTGACGCATTTTAGCTCAGTTGACGTAGTGATAACAGGCAGTGTGGATCTGGTGCATTGTCCATTTATAATAATGTGTTTCATTAAAAAGGTTTATTTAGCCATTATCCTTTATAGCATTGGACATCAAGAGAAAAATGGAGAAATATTAATTACTTCCTAGGGCCTAGTTAATCGTTTCGGCACGAAAATTACAAATATTGTATTATAAAATATTATAATTACAAAAATTAAGGAAAAGTATTGCAAAAATAATAAATATGTTGAAAAAAATGGAAAAGGACTGACAAATATACACAACAGTTAATGATTTTTTTTTCTATAAATAAATTGTGAAGTGGCACATTTTTTTTAAATTTATTACCCACTAGACTATTTAAAAAAAATATATAAAAATCGATTTGAAAAACAATTTAATTTGAATGAAAATCAGGAATTTACAATAGTTGTGGGGCTTAGGTAAACTAACCTATCTAGGTAGTCTCCCCACAACATCTCCGGATTGAACTTTTGATTTCCGGAAATCTGCTAGACATGTCTATAGGAGACCCTACACGGTCATTCGGAATTGCAATCCGAGGCAATTATTCTGGGACTACTGTCCCCTAAGAATAATAACAGAGTTACAAATTTATGGGTCTTAGTCTGACATAATAAAAATACAAACGAATTTACTGTTAATTGCTATTTAATTTCTGCAATAGATTGAAATCAAACATTGTACAGATGCAAGTAATTTTACATGTTAGGGGAAGTTTGAATGTGGAGTAGGTGTTGGAACAGGAGTTGTTTGAAGGAATTTATGGACGAGGATTGACGCATGGAGGTAGGGAGTGAGTTCCATAAGGAAGCAGCACGAATGACGAAGGATTTGCTAAAGGAGGAAGTTTTATGGGAGGGAATATATAAGTCTATAGGTTGAGACCTAGTATTGAGAGAGTGGATAGAGGAGCGTCGAGTAAAGAGTTCCAGGATGTAGGGAGGGTTTTTGGTTCTGAAGACTTGGAAAAGGAAAACACCGAGGAGAAATTGTCGTCGGGAAGTAGGATAAAGCCACTTCAATTCGGTGTACCAGATTGAAACATATGAACGCCTGGGATGCCGAAAATGTATCTTATGAAACAATTCATGAGTATCTTTAGTCTCATTTCCAGCCTCACAGATAGCCCTCCATACACCAAACAGCCGTAGTCGAAGTGGGGGAATGCAAGAATTATCGTGTAAGGTAGTGAATGAAGTACTGATGGAGGTGTCTGGCGGATTTCCGAACATCCGGAAATCAAAGGTTCATTCACGAGAAGTTAAGGGGGGGGGGGACTGAGGTAAAAGTAGTGGAGAGACTAACCATACTACTGGATAGGTTAGTTTACCTAGGTCTCACAGCCATTATAAATTCCTGATTTTCATTAAAAGTAAATAGTTAAATAGTTTTTCATATCCCTTGTTTATATTTTATAAACCATCTTCACCTCTTTCTCTTAAATAGTCAAGTGGGCAACAAATTAAAAAAAAAAAAAGTGGAAACTTCACAATTCACTAAAAAAAAAAATCTTTAACTGTTGTGTTTATTTGTCATTAATTTTTCCATTTTTCTTAACAAATTGATTATTTTCGTAATACTTTTCCTAAACTTTTGTTAGTAGTTGACTTATATTTTTCTAACTTTGGTCTAAACGATTTTCTGGCACTAGGAAGTAATTATTATATCTCCATTTTTCTCTTGATGTCCAATACTATAAAGGACAATGTCCAAAAAAGCTTATCTATGCTGTTTCTTTGTTTACAACTGAGCTAAATTAGCGTCAGCAAAGATAACTAAGGATTGAACTTGTAAAAAGGGTCTTCATGATCAAAGAGATCCCGAGCAATCTTTGCCATTCTTGTAACGTTCATTCACGAATGATCGTGTAAGGGTCGCTTACCAGTACTTCAATCAGTACCTTACACGATCAATCAGAACGTCAATAGTGCCTCGGAATCCAATTCCAAATGACCGTGTAGGGCCCGCTTAAGAAATGATGTTTAGATATTTCATGAAGTTCTTTTAAAAATGTAATCACAGGAACAATAATACTTTCAGAGATTTTTGTTTTCCAAAGATCTGGCTATATTTAGTAGCTGTATAAGCATTATAATTTAAAAAGATGGCATATTTTGATTGTTCAACTATTTACCTTAGCTTTGATAGCTCACAGTAAGAAATCTGGACCAATGAAAGAAAAATAATTTTTCCTTTTTGGGGGATGGGAGGAGATGCTAGAGCCCTAAAGAAAGGTGGATCCACTGGAAAAATAACTACATTGTAATGGATCTAGGAATTAATTTATTTCCTGTTTTGTTTTTTCTAGAACTGAAATTACCCTGAAAGAGGTCCTTAAAAATAAATAAAAATTAAAAAATACTGTGGTTACAGGAACAATAATACTTTTAAGGAAATCTTTTTGTAATTTAAAAAGGGTACATATTTTAATTGTTTAAGTATTCAGCTTAGACACTCAATAGAGACCAATTAAAAAAAAAAAATGTTATCAATTTTGGTAGTTACTTCAACTCGAAAGCCCATCCCTTCTTCCCCCCGTGAATCCGTGATAGTTGAAGTTAATCTATCGACAAATCTAGATAAAATAGATGTTTCTTTAATAAATAATAAAATTCTCTTACAAAAAACAAAACAAAATCTGACCATAACATCTACTGTTGGACAAAATGAAAGTTTACTACATTCGCAATCTGATAACAAATATTTTCTATTATAAATTTATACGAAAACCGATAAATGGTAAATAAAATTATACAGGGTGTTTCAGGGTTAAGTGGCCAAACTGAAAATATGAATTAAGGACCTCAAAACAAGAAAAAAAATTCCTATGAAGGTATGTCCGCAAACGCTTTGTTTAGGAGATATTCACACTTAAAGATTTTCATTGTTATGAATTATTTACGTTATATTAAGAAAATAAAACTTATTTATTTGTTACAACTACTTTATTAATTAAAAGTAAACATTAAATTCATATTAAATGTTGTTCAAAGTGATTTCCTTGAGCATTAAGACAAGCTCGGCATATTCCACAGCAGCAGTGGAAGAACGGCACTGGATATGTGTTATTGTTTCACAAGATTCAATTATCCTTCTTCGTGAGGAATTAAGGTCATTGACCGGACTTGCTCAATCATAATATCCCATATCCCAAACAATGGACTGGCCGTGCAGGACCAGTGGCTTGGCCTGCACGCTCTCTGGACCTGACACCATTGGATTTTTTTATTTGGCGTGACATTAAACAAAAAGTCTATACAAGTCAGGTCAATGACCTTAATTTCTCATGAAGAAGGATGATTGAATCTTGTGAAACAATATCACACATCCAGTGCCTTTCTGCCACTGCAGCTGTTGAAGAAAGATGCTGAGCGTATCTTAATGCTGAAGGAAATCACTGTTTACATTTAATTAGTAAAGTATTTAGAACAAATAAATAGGTTTTATTTATTTCATATAACGTAAATAATTCATAACAACGAAAATCTTTTAGTGTAAATATCTTCTAAACATAGTATTTGCTGACATACCTTCAGTGGAAATTTTTTTCTTGTTTTGAGGTCCTTAGTTCATTATTGCGGTTTGGCCACCTAACCCTGAAATACCCTGTACATATTATTAAAAAAATAATTTTATGTATATTACATATGATTTTTGATATATTACATTAAACAATGGATTAATTATTATTAAATGAGATCCCATCCTACCAGTAGTAGGTTTCGGGTCATGATTTAACAACTTGATTGCATCTTCAGCCCCATACTGGAGATCTTGCACCAAATACCGGAGCAGCTTTTGGTGTAACGAGGCCTTGAGGACATTCGGCTTCTCTCTCATTTTCTGTAATTCAATTCATTAAAATTAATTTGTAATTTCACATCTAGTTTGACAATCTTATATACATTTTTAAAATAATAAGCACACAGGTTATTCAGAATGTACTTACGGAGAACAAGACCGGCAAAATGGCGCCTAAACACAAATTCACAAGATCACACTGTAGATGTTATTCCGAAAATTTCCGAGTTTAAACGACTGTGTACGAAAGCGTATTTATGGGAATTAATATGGTGGGGTTAAAAAAAAATAACCACAAAAGGCACATTTTGTTAAACGTGCATAACTTAATGAGGTACATATTGAATCTTTTTAAATAAAGCAATGACCAATGAGAAATACGTTAATTAGATCATGAATTCATTTATGGCATCCAACTTCCGCTCGCTCAAGAGATAAATTACTCCCAGTCGAGCCTTGCCAGATATCTAAAATGATCCATTGCCTAATTGCTATGCTTAATTTTAAATTCCTAGCTTCTTAAATACTATTATTCGTTATTATTCTTCGGATTACTCAATAATCCGAAGAATACAAGGGATTGTGATCATCATGACTAGGAACCATAAAAGTTGTGTTCATGCCATTAAACTATCTCGATATAAATATAATTATAATTATAATTGGATATAAATATATAAGTTAAATTGGAAGGTGTTGAGATTGATCGTTACTACTCACTGTCGGGCAGACTCGGTTGCACTCAGAAATTTTCAGAATTCCGTCAACAGAGTTTGTACCCAGCCGCCAAATTGGAAGCCGTGTTCTTTGCAAGAACCCAAAGAATACATGAACCTTTGCCTGGTTATACTAACAAATATATCTGTCTATTACGTAGAAATTTTTACAAGCAATTAAGCATTTAGAAAATATTAAGCATAAATATTGTTAACAAGGTACGGTAGATTGATATTCAAGAAGGAAGGAACAATTAGTATTATAAGTGCAGTATAGAAGGGTATTACAAGAAATATGTAAGGAATTTCAGAAACAAATTTATAAGGGAGAAGTGGGTTGGTTGGGATCATAGAGGTAGATACACGATTCTAGATTCAATGACATTGGGATTCTGTAAGGTGGACCCTGTCTCATTTCTAATGTCAGGTAATCATTTTTAAAGGTCTAAGTGGACCCAGTAAGTATCTATCTATGGAAAATTATTGTTGCCAATCAGGATTTTAACTAGGTTCATTCTGAATTTCATACTCTAGGACACCTTACAGTTGTAAATCATTAACTTCAATATAATTTGTAATTTTTATTAATATAATTAATTCGTATACGCATTAAACTTACAGGATGTAGAATCCTATATAGCGAATAAGAGTGGATTTTTGACGCAGTCTTCAAACTTGGCTTATCGTCAGTATGAGGCTCCCCAGATAATTTGACATCAACCCTAAAATAATAACACATTATTAGATACAAAAAATTAAGTTTAAAATGAAAATAAAATTTTCAATTGAAGCATTGAAGTACCTAGACGCTGTCTGTATTGTTTTTACTTATAGCTTACTTAGGATTTGGAGGATGTTTGAAGTTAGATAATGATCACTCAAGCATTCATTATATGAATTTTAATGAAACTATCCATTGTTAGTACCCCACTCATATGAGTGTGTTAGATTATGGTTGGCGGTTCAGTCTTTTAGAAAATAGTTGAGGAATTAAAGAGAACCATCGATTTTTTTTCCAACAAAAATCTCTCTCTCAGCAAGACGGTAAGATTTAAAGACCCTCAGTTGAACCTTTATAACACGTTTGGAAATTCCACCTGCAAACTATATCACTATAAGCCTAGCCGATTCTTTCAAATAGTGGTTAGGTTCATATTCTTTTCACCCCTCATGTTTTTGCACATACTTTGGAGAATCTGACGCTCTGTTATATTTTAAATTAAATACAAAAATAGTTAAATTTGTCCGATTAAAGAATTTTTGTTTGAATTTATAAATAATTTTATTATTTTTCAAATAGGCTTATTAAATATTCTTAAATATTTATTGTTTTCAGTTTAGTCGAAAAAAAGAAAAAAAAAGTAAATGGATATCCATGTGAATATGTACAGAATACTTCTGTGTAATACTAATTTTTTTTTTTAGAGAATTTAATTACCTTTGAGGTGATTATGGAAAATATTATTTATTAATATAGTGTAAACTTTTTGAGTTATGCGCAGAATAAATTACTTATAGTATAATTAATTACTAACAGGGGTGCCCTTCTTCTGAAGGTTTCAGAAGGAGCGCAAGTCGCACCATCAAAATTTATAAGGAGAGCTCATTTTGACGGGGTTTTGAATTTGTGAGGGGCCACGCTTCGACGGGATTATACATTGTTGGAATGGACAGTTTCAAACTAGGGGCAATAGTAAATCATGGAACAGAGCACAAGTGTATTTGTCGATCTACAAATTCTACTTTGGTACCATTGTTTTGAAAAGAGGGCAATAATAAAATATCTTGATAGGGGGTGGAGGTAGAGGTTCATGCGCCATTGACCTTTTGAGGGGGGGGGGGCACCCCTGTGTACGAGGGCTTTTAGATCAGCTTAGGCAAGTCTCATCAAAATTGTTGGAGGAATTTCGTTGCTTCAGAAAAAACAATTTTTTTGGACACACAGTGTACAAGCTTCAGGTGTCAAATTCTATTTTTAAAAACAAGAAAATCTTTTCGTTTGTTCAAGAGACGATCTATGACCGATTTTTTTTTTTTTTTTTTTTAGGGTACTCTAAATGTAAAACTTTGTGGAAACCAAAAATTTGGCTCGATTACAATACTTATCTCTGGTGGCAGTAAATAAATCCAAACTATTTACTTAACACTCAGATCTTTGTGGTTTTAATAACCAATTTTTGGTACGGTAGTCAGTAGCAGAACTAGATTTTTTTTTTTTTACAAAAAATAAATGAAAAGACACCATAAAAAAACAACTTAAAATAGTATAATATAGGTTCTCATCGGAAAATTAAAAAAAAATATTGCTCTATTTCTTTGTGAGATTTTTTTTATTTGCTCATTCCCATCACTGTTGGTTATATATTACTAAATAATGATTCGCCAATTTATTTAAAACCCAATTTTAATTTATTTATCCGATCGGATACCTACCGAATACTTTCTTTCGATACTCATAAAATGTCAGATAATTGTCATTTAAAAGTTTTCAGTATTTCTCACATACAGAGCATGAAAACTTCGACTTTCGGTAAATAATTAATAGCGTTACGACATGCTGTACCAAAATTTTTGTTTTGGAAAAATTAGTGAGTTTCCAGTGTAAAGTAAGTCAGTTCCTCATTGTGACGTTGTTGCTGTACGAAATGATGTTTATGTTTAAGTTTTACCAGTGCAATCATTGTACATTTGACAATCGCTTGAATGCGTAGACGTCATATTTCGCAATATCATGCATTTTCTAGCGTTAACCTTCACGAGGCTAAATACTGCGTCATTAAAAAAGCAATAAAATATATTATTATTTCTTTTTAAATATATTATCAAGATTATTATCTTGAAAAATTTAATACATTTTTAAAACAGAAGATATACAATTTTTTGCTTGGGAATAATTTGTTGGAATGAAAGTTTTATTCCAACTGTGACCCAGTTTTAAAAATTAATTAAAATTGTAGTAATATAATTAATATGAAAAGACATACTTAATTTTATTTAGACATCACACTTATATACGATATTTAAATCAATCAATTATGCATAGGATAACATTAACGTATTTTAGGTTTAGTGGGTATTGAAAATGAAGATATTTTCTTTCTGTACTAAAAAATGAAGCAAACAAGTTCACATTTCCCACATTTATTATGCTGAAATATAAATAACATAAGTGGGATATTTAAAAATTATTGTCTTGTTAAAATTATATAATGACAGATCAAGGTTTAAAATACAACAAATACTCCCACAAACATATTTCTGAATTTTTTTTATCAGAAGAAAAATTATTTAATTTTTTATATATTCTTTAGATTAAAGCAATTTTCTGAAAAACAGTCAAAATACCACACATTATACCCCACTTGATGGCAGTACATGTTAAAGATAATAATTTATTTAAAGTACTTCATAAATTCTAGTTCTTATAATATTATCTCTTTATTTCTTTACTAGACATTTATTTTAGTGGCCATGATTTCTGAAACTAAATATGTCAATAGATTATTAAAGAACTTTATTTAAACAAAAAAACATTTAGTTTTATTAAAAATATAATTCATTCAAATAATTTGTTGGTGAAAGTTTATTTCACCAGAATTTAGTAAGCAATTTCTTTAAACATTACCTTATCTTCTTTTTCTTTAGTTGTCGATTTTTTGAAAATTTCATTTTCTCTTTTAAATAACAAACTACACAAATTTATAACATATAGTTTAGGCTACTCCAAAAGACTGTTTAGATACCCTCTATTGGGATTTATTTAAATCTGTGTTATAAATAACAGTATATTTAATTTTTTTTAATAGATAATATATAATATAATATTAAAAAAAAAATTTTCTGTCAGATGAACAACAGTTTCCTCAATTTGTCTGAAAATTAGATTCACCTTTATTTACTTCTGTTTACTTTATATTTAAAATTATTAATTGTTAAAAATTAAATTGCATTATAAATTATCCTTTGTCTGAACTATTATATTTCTACTTTACTTCTAAGACTTCGCCCTTCATACCTTCATTGGGGAAAACCCTTAATATAATTAAAATCATTATACAGGCTAATTTGTTTAAATTACATATTACATATTAATATTAAATATGTTTAACTAAATAAATAGTGTACTTTTTTATTCTCTGAAAACAAGCAGTTCATAATGAACCTTCATGGATGTTTCAATCTTTTTTGAACCATTTACAATTAAAAGTGAATAGTGATGTGCAATTTTTCCATAAAGTAAATGAAAGTTTAAAGACAAAGAATGTTTAAAGAAGATTAAAATAATGTCATTTTAAAAATTATTTACTAAATATTAATGATATGATACTTGTCTAAACAATATTTTAAAATCAAATTATCTTTTTAATAAAAATAAATGTTTTATAACCTATTTTTTTATTAACCGATTTTTTAATTAATTAATTAATTAAATTTAATTAATTTATTTTAAGAAATGCTGTTACCAACATAAATAAGTGCCATTAATGTGACAAAAAAAAAATTTAGTCAGATTTTGTAAAAAAAAAGCTTTATTTAATTTTTTAAATTTTCATGTGTACTGCACTGCCTAGAGTGGTATTTTAAAAGTCATTTTGACTATGGATCAACATAAATTAAATTGTTTAAAAATGGTAAATTATAAGATCTCTTGTTACTCCTTTGATACCTCTTCTCATCCATCTTGTATCACATTTTATCCCTCCCCCAAAAAATCCTTAAATGGCTTCCAATAAACATATATCCATTCTCCTTTGGAATGCAAATGGTGTTGGAAACGATACAGACAAACTATCTGCATTATTACTTGACAAGAACATTGATGTGGCACTAATTATTGAAACTTGACTAACCACTAAACAGCTCTTCACAATATCACAATATCTGACATATCGTACTGACCACCCTGATGGAAGAGCACTTGCCGGTACTGTTGTCATTGTACCTCAATCCCTCTCCCATCACCTAAAAAAGATTTCCAACAATCCACCGCTATAGTAATAAAAACCTCCTTTCCGGTTAAACTTTCGTCAGTGTATTGCCCTCCTAACCGATCCATATCCAATGCCCAATTCGGTTCTCTCCTCAATTCCTTAGGACTTCACTTCATGTTAGTTATAGACTTAAATCCAAGCACCAACAATGGGATTCCAGAACCTTGAATTCTCGTGGCCGAACCCTGCTGTCTGCATTGAATTTCCAATGTCTTCAACTCCTTTACCCCAACTCTCTTACCTACTGGCCCACAGATCCTAATCGTAATCCTGATATCCTTGATTTCTTTATCCACAGTGGCTTAGGTTCCCTCCATTGTTCCATTGCACACCTAAATGAACTGTCCTCTGCCTATAGTCTTCTAATTCTTAATGTTTCACTAGAACTCTTTCCCAAGCCTTCTCCACCGTCATTTATCCAGGAGCCCAGTTAACTGGGATATTTTCCGACAAATCCTCTCCGATAAAATTATTTCAATATATTCCTAAAAACTCCCAATGACCTAGATAGTGACGTCAATTTCTTTACTACCACAATTCAACAATCTGCCTGGACTGCCTCCTCTCCAAAAGACTCAACAAATTCATAAAAAGACCATTCTACCTCAACATCTTGACCTAATCCACATCTATGTCATACTAGATTATCATGCAAATCTAGTAAGACATCCCATCGACCGCAGCTCCTGTAATTATTACTCTAAAAACTGGAATTAGCCATCTTCAGATCAAAATCCTTTAACTCCTACCTATCCTACCTCTTTGCTCATGACAATTCCCTTTGGAAAACCACAAAAAAAATCCTAAGCCCTCACTAAATTTCCCATCCCCTCCGACAAGATGACTGCTCCTGGACAGCATCTGGTAATGATAAAGCCAAGGAGTTCGCCAGACACTTATCCAATATATTTATTTTACATCTAAAATCCCATCCTCACACTGAATCCCATTGAACACTGGTGCATTAAAGTGAAATCCAAATGCCAACATATTACCTTAACACTCCGATGCAATTCCTGTCCACCAGTATACTTTAACTCCATTCAGCTTCCTTTCTCGGACACAGTCCAGTATCTTGGCTTTCTTTTAGACCGAAGACTAATATGGAAATCACATACTAGACATAAAAGACAAGAACTCAACCGAAGATACGGCCAACTATACAGACTGCTAAATAAAAAATCTAAACTTTCTACTTAAAACAAAATAGTTATCTACAACACAATCCTGAAATATATGTGGACATACAGATTTGAACTGTGGGGAACAGCAAAATTTTCTAGATCTTCAATCCTTTCAATCTAAAATCTTTCGAACAATAGTCGATGCTCCATTCTATGTAACCAACAAAACCCTACACCATGACCTTAATATCCCATTTGTCCTAAACCTTATCCTATAAAAATTCTACAAATTTCACCAGAACCTTACCCATCATCCAAATCCCCTTGCACAATCCCTATCCAGCATCACCTATCCCTACAATCCTCCTCGAAGGTAGAAGCGGCAGTGGCCCAGAGACCTTTAGAGAAAGGCTTAGCTCGGAGATCTTGAGTGAATGAATTTTTTTTTAGATATTGTACAGAAACATGTGGGGATTTGGGTGGTTATTTTCATTAGCTTAGTTTCTTTTTATTTAGTTTAGTTTATCTACATTTATTTTTAGGATTATTATTTTTTTTTATTATTTATTTTTATTTATTGTGAATGTGCTCTTTGAACACTATTATAAATGTCCTTAATTGTGACAGATTGTAATACATCTCAATAAATATGTTTAACAAAAAAATAAATAAAATAAGGAGTGAGCATCGAATTCAGGGTTTTTATCTTATAATAATGCAGAGAGGATTATTTAAAGAAAACAAATTACTAAACTGTAATGAACTCTTAGGCTTATTGAATGGTTACGATTTGAACAGCTTATTCCTATACCATGTATCTGCTTATAAATAAAAAATGTTTTTGATTTTGCGATATAATGCTTAGGGCCAGTTGTAAGATTAGAGTTCAAATTAAGATCAAGCTTGAACTACTGTCAAACCTGAAAATCCATCTGTACTAATGAAGGTTATCATCTGAACATGGTTCAAGCTTAGTTTAAAGTGAACTATCAAAGAGGCTCATTCAAGTCAAGTTCAACTGAACTTAATACTATTATAACTCTATTTTAAAATATATGATTACAAATCATTTAGTTAAAATGATCAAAATATCATTTAGTTCAATCCTAAAAGCTAGTATTAACCCTTAGTTGGATGATTTTTTTAATTTTCATAAAAAATAAAATTAAAAAAATCAATTGTTTAGAAGCCATATAATAACAGAAAAATAATTTTAAAATAATGAGGAATTTAAAATCTGATAAAATTTGTAAAATTTAAATGTGAGGGACATATGCATGAGAGTTAAAATTCAGTCATGAATTAAATAGGACTTGTAGTACATCATGTACTACGTAAGAACATTTACACTTGTTTCGCACTGGGATCAAGCTGAACGTGAAATATTTATAAACTTTA